AGAGCTCACAGATACAATTATCTACAAGTCTCTTGGCAAAGATCTACCCTCTCTGAAGCACAGGAGCTGAACTCGAGTTGACTCAACACACTGATCAGTTGTGTCTGTTTTCCTGTAGTTCAACTGTCACCATGATATCTGGGAATATGATACATGGAAAACTGAGTGGACTCTGTCCTGTCAAGGACAGGAAAGACACTGATATCAGATAGACTGTTGCCATGGTAACCATGCCATGATCACAGTGTCAAATATGGTTGATTGAAACTTGTGTCATGACTGGAAGACTCTTTATGTTTGGGACTGAAGAAGAGAAGTCTCCAGGGTGACCTCACTGTGCTCTTTCAGTAGCTGAAGGGGCTAGAACAGAACTGCAGAGGGACTTTGGATAAGGACATGGAGTGACAGGACAAGGAAAAATGGCTTTAAAGTGACAGAGAGCAGTGTTAGATGGGATATTGGGAAGAAATTCCTCCCTGTGAGGGTGGTCAAGCACTGGCACAGGTTGCCCAGAGAAAGCTGTGACTGTCCCATCCCTGGAAGTGTTCCAAGCCAGGCTGGATGAGGCTTGGAGCAAACTGGGCTGGTGGAAGGTGTCCCTGCCCATGGTAGGGGCTTGGACCTAGATGATTTTTAAGGTCATTTCCAACCCAAACCATTTGTTGATTCTATGATTCCATGGAGCAGCTCAAGACAATATCCAGTTCTGGGTTGGGCAATGCAAAGGGGAAGGTGATAAACCAAAGGTGCTTCAAAGAAGGACTTCTGAAAGGATTAAAGCCCTGGAAGTCTGACCTTTCAGAGAAGGAATCATAGCCCACCAAAGTCTATGCAAGGGATACCCTATACAAAATACTTCTCCATGGGGGATTGAAAATTGCAAGAGTAATGAAGTTTAGTAGAAAGATGTAACAAGAGCTGTTGATGCAGGAACTCCATAAATCAGAGTAGAAATATTTTACACAGGAGTAATTTTGCACATGGTTGATAACCAACCACTGGAACAGCTGATGAAAGCTTGGAGTTCACTCCCTGTCGCTGAACATCTCTACAAAATTTGGTTTCTTTTCCATCCCAACAAGAATTAACTGTAAGGGAAGTTAGATCTGTGATAAAACACATCACCTGTAAACCCTGAATTTCTGTCATCTGACTTTCCTGGTGTATGTGATCAGCAGACAGAGATTATATCTCCCTATATTACCTTATAAATCAGGATAGTCTCCCAGGGACAGGCTGGTAGTGGCTTTGGATTGATACCACCAAGAATTCCAAGAGGTTTTTGGCACACAAACCTTCCTCCCTCCACACCACACCTCATTTATATTCTCAGGTCTTCAGACCTGAGATGTCATTTCAATTGAACTCCCTTATGGCTCCTGTCAGTCAGTGCTCAAAACCTTGCTCAGGGTTTATTCCACCACTGACAGAGACAGATGGGAATTTAGGGTCTCCTGAGTCCTACAAGCTGTCTAAGCCTGACCTAACTGCTATGCCAAACCATATCTGCCACATATTTATCAGGTTTCAGCTTGAAGCAGGTGAAGTTTCTGCCCTGCCTTTGCTTTTAGAAAGAACCCAATTTTCCTAGGGTTTAAGATCCAACCTCTGATTTTCAGCCTCATTTAACTCAGGCTTGTCTTAACTCTGCCAAGCTAAAAGGGGACAGTGTTTTCCAATGTCATCCTGTTCTCCCAGTTTTCCCACTAGTTTCCATCTGGGTTTTTTCCATCAGAGCCTCGTATTTTCTTGATGGGGCAGTGAAATTCCAGCTGAGAAGGCAGCAGGGTGCTAGTACTTCCAAAATCACCCTCCTTACCCTCCTTTACACCCCAACATACATGTTAACATCACCTGTGTTTGGGTTTTGTTTCAGGGCTCCATCTCATCATCATCTCATTATCTTCAGATCAACTAATACCTTAAATGTAATAGACCTTAAAGGTCTTTCCTCCACAGTTTTACTGGCACACTCCCAGCCTCTCTCTCTCCCTGGCACTGCTGCACACTCAGCCAGTCTGCAGGAGCTCTAACCATCCCAGCTCTGGTGGTTTCCCAAAGTTCTTCCTTATGGCAAGATGGAATAGATTGCCCACGGAGGTGGTGGAGTCACCATCCCTGGAAGTGTTTCAGAGGCATCTGGATCTGGCACTGAAGGATATGGTTTAGGGTTTAGGGGTTATAGGAGAGTGGCAGGTTAATGATTGGACTTGATGATCTTAGAGGTCTCCTCCAACTTTGATGCTTCTATGATTCTAAGATCTCAAAGCTTTTCAAGACATCAGAGTGAAGTGGCTTTGCACTGGCCAGAGGCAAACAATCCATCCCATGCCCACACACCACAGTGAGCACAGAATATCTGGAGTTGGAAGGGACCCATAAGGATCATTGAGTCCAACTCTTGGCCCCAAGAATCACACCACATGCCTGAGAGCATTGTCCAAAGGGTGATGGACTCCTTTCACCAAGCTGGGCAGACTTAGCTTCTTTATCTCACTATTCCTTCAACCACACTGATTTATTCCAAGGATTTCTCAGTATGGAATGACTTGGAGGTATGAGAAGACCACTACAACACTCCAGCATGGACATCTCCATTCCAGCAAGCCACACACAATCCACCAAGCAGCTTTTTAGTGTGCCAGCCCCACTGTGCTTTCCTATTGAGGCATGACCACCTGAGAGGCTGAAAGCATTGGATCCTTTCCAGCTTCATGGTTATTAATTAATATATTGCTCAAATGTGCCTTGAGCTGCCCAGTTGCAAGGAAGGAGCTGGATGTAACCAGCTCTGGTGGCTTTATCCAACTGGAGTTTTTCCTGTCCACCCAGAGAGGTGTGTTTGAGCTGGTTTGAGCTTTATGGACCTGAGCTCTGACAGCACAGGAAGATGAAATAAAGATAAGGGATGGTTTTTACTCTCATAGTTAATAAAGCATGAGGTGCAGATCCTTCCCTCCCTTTCCCATGGCACAGCACTGATCCCACTGCCCCAACTCCATTTATGTCATCCATGACTGTGGAAATGTTTATTAGCAATGCCTCTCAGGTTACTGGGAACCATTATCCAACTGGGAAGTGGATAGGCTGCTGGGAATGGTAGCAATGCCATGTGTGTTGTCATAACAAGGAAAGCACCAGGGATTAAATCACCTCATCTCCATCCCTGAAGGCTCTGAGTGCTTTACAATGATTCACAAACTTCTCTCCTTTGGCTTATTCAGCTGTTTGATGGGAAATTGCATCATGTTGGGGTTTTCCAGTTTGGATCACAACAAACACAACAGAAAGTCTATCAAGTTTCCCTATGAAGCACCAGATGCCATTAGATCAGGCAAAAGGGAGAAACAAATTATTTCTCCCTAGCTCTGAGCTTTTTAAGCTGTTCCCCCAAGTACTGGATGAGATACAAAATAAATGATGGTGTTTGAAAGGGCTGCCTTGATGTATATCAAGTGAAATTTGCTCTCAGGAAGGTACTGAAGTGGGAAAATTAATTCATTTCTCCAGTCTCTCCCTCTACTCTGCTCTGGTGAGACCCACCTGAAGTACTGCACACAGTTCTGGTGACTCCAACATCAGAAGGACATGGAACTCTTGGAGCAAGTCCAGAGGCAGCAATGGTGTTTGAAAGGGCTGCCTTGATGTATATCAAGTGAAATTTGCTCTCAGGAAGGTACTGAAGTGGGAAAATTAATTCATTTCTCCAGTCTCTCCCTCTACTCTGCTCTGGTGAGACCCACCTGAAGTACTGCACACAGTTCTGGTGACTCCAACATCAGAAGGACATGGAACTCTTGGAGCAAGTCCAGAGGCAGCAGCAAAGCTGAGAAGAGGACTGGAGCATCTCCCCTAGGAGAGAGTTGAGGCTGTTCAGCCTGGAGAGGAGAAGGTTGTGTGGAGACCTCAGAACAACCCTCCAGGATCTGAAGGGGCTCCAGGGAAGCTGCAGAGGGACTCTGTGTTAGAACTGGAGTGATGGGACAAGGAGTAATGGAGATAAATTGAAAGAGGGGAAAGTTAGATGAGATATCAGGAAGAAGTTTTTCCCTGTGAGGGTGCTGAGACACTGGCACAGGTTGCCCAGGGAGGCTGTTGCTGCTCCCTCACTGGCAGTGTTCAAAGCCAGGTTGGCTAAAGCTTTGAGCAACCTGTTCTGGTGGGAGGTGTCCCTGCCCATGGCAGGGGATTGGGGTGAGATGATCTCTAAGGTCCATTCAAACCTCTAAAGTTCTATGATTTCTCCATGTGAGGTTTATTTCCCACCTTCACAATAAAATTTGACAAGTAGCTGGCAGCTTTCCAAGAGAAGGCTGAGCTGCTTTGCCAACATGACCCAGGACCTAAAACAACATGACATCTCCAAATCCCAGACATGGAATCACCATCTCCCATGCTCACTACCTCTAGCCTTTCAGTGACTCCCATGCTCAACAGCTCAACACCAGGGCTTAGTCAATAACTAAGTCCCTGGGAGCAAAAACATGGGGTTGATTTTGCCTGGATTTGGGAAAACAGACATCTTTAGGCAACTCCAGTGATGCCAGCCCATGGAAACTTTTTTCCAGTGCATATAGAAGCTCAGCCTGCTGTTACTTGCAGCTGGACTGTTGTTGCCTAGTGCAACACACATGACACAACCCAGTTCTCAGCTCGTGGAGCCAGATGGGAAGGAACAAACATACTTTGTCACATTCCCCATCCAAGCTCTGGCATGGAGCCACACCTTGCAATGCAAGCTGTGTTTTTCATTTTCCATGGGACACAAACCTGAAGAAAAGCTAAGGTATGGTAGGAGTCTGCTCATTTTGATGATGTCACCTTGGAGAACTTGTTCCTCTACACATCCCAATCCAGACTGGAGCTGAGCTATCCTCTGATCAACGTGAGGGAATCCGCCCACAGGATCAACAACAGGTGCTGGAGGGTGGGAAGACATATAAAGCTCCTTGGGAGAAGCTCTTCTTTACTGTCCTTGGCTGCACGGATCTACTCTCAGCATGAAGACGCTTCTGGTTGGGTTCCTGCTTGGCCTGGCTTGTTTGGAGTTGGGTAAGATTTCTCCATTCCCAACACTGCAGGGACCCCTTGGGAAATTCCTGAGAGGGGAGAGGAAAAGGCATCAATGTAGAAAGATCTGGTAGCCCCCCAGGGAGGGGAAATACCATCTTCATGTTTTTAAAGTCAATGGAGAGGGTGAAGGGAGAGAAGGGATAAGCATTCCTGGTGGGAAGAGCTGTGATGCCTGACTGGGAGAAATGCACATCATTGGGAGACACAGGTGGTCACCTGTCACCCACACCTGGGGATGGAGGGGACCAACATGCTGCTTTATAAGACTCAGGTGTGAATTACAGCCACATGGCACAGGACAGTACCAGCTTGGGCAAGAGCTGGAACCAACAGCCTCTACCTGAGCTTCCACCCTGTTCCTTCAGGAATGGGGTGGGATATGTTCATCCTGAGCTCCTGACAACCCTAAAATCTCCCAGGTGCCTGCTGGAAGTGCTGAGAACCAGAGGGTGAGGCTTCAATATAGATAAGGGTGTGAGAAATAACTCCAAGGACTTTGGAATGGATTATCAAAACACCAGCTTCAGGATTTTCCCTCATTTCTAGAGACTAGGAGATAGGTGAAGATGGGAATTTCCCCTGGATCTGTTTGGGTTTGGTCTCTGATGGGTCTGGATGTTGGGCAGGCTGGCAGAAGGCTTTGGTTATCACTGTGTTCTTCCTCCATCGATTTTTGACCTACTGCAACTACTTCCTTAGCCTGGAATAGCTACCCTTGGGGTGACATCAAGACAGTGGAGCTTAATTTACAGCTCATGTGCCCCAGAGATCCTCAGGCTGCTTCCATGGGACCCTGAAAGATCTCAAAAGAAAGGCAGCCTGAACAGAGGTCAAACATTTCCATCTGGAGTCCTGTCTTGGATTCAATGGAATTTCTGAGGATCTGACAGAGCAGATTTCCACTCACAGGTCTGGAAGTGCTTTATGGAAACTGAGAGGCATCAGCACCCTTTTCTTTCTAGCTGAGATCAGGGAAGACATAGGTTCTCTGGAATGATCCAGTGGGAAGCAGCTGGTCTAGGCACAGCTCTTGACTCTGAGGGAGATATCTGTGACCATTCATCTTCCAGAGTTTGATATCAAGAGGCAGAAGGTATTGCTGGACAGTGATGAACAGTGAATTATTTGCCTTAGATCAGGACAGAGTGTGGAATGTTCAGTTCTTCTGTTCTGGTTCTTATGGATTTGGGCTTTCCTCTTCCACTGCAACCTTCTTACAAAAGCAATGTCCTCGGAGTGAAAGATGAGGGGGTGAGGATTTTCTTCTTTAAACCTGTTTTTAACTGGGAGTTGTTCCCTCAGAGCCCATGGCACTGCCCTGATCACCCCTGTAAATGGTGAGGTTTGGAAATCAGCTTAACTGATTTGCAGAGCAGTTCTTCAGATGCTTTAAGCCAGCACTGCTCCTTCCACCCATCCATCAGCCATCCTAGACACTCACAAACATCCATATGCTTGTCAGGTTGTTAATGTGTTTTGTCTCTCAGTGGACACTGCATGAAGTATAAACCAACCTCTCATGGATCATTTGGAAGGGACCTAATGAGGTCCCAACTGGGTTAAACAGGAATGGCTCCACCACACCTATTTACAAGGCATATGGCCACAAGAACACAAATATTCACCTTAAAAACTCCTTTTTACCTCTGCGAAGAGGACAAAGAAATTTTTTGCATCATTTAGGCTCTATTGCACAGCTGAATTTTCCAAAGGAGCTGCTAAGAGAAGTAGATGCCTTCAAAATTCCTTCTGAAGTCAGGTGTGCAAACAAACACCTTCCAAGCTATTTCTGCTTATCACAAAGCCCCAGAGACTCCTTTCCAACAGCAGGTGGAGCAGAATTCGAAAAAAAAAACCCGTCGTCTCTCTGAGTTTTTACCAATAGATGGCACTGGATGCTTTTGAATGGCTCTTTAGCTGGTGGAAAACAGCTAGGAGAGAAAACATCAACCCAGGCTGGTTTCTGTCATCAACCCACAGCAGCACGACTGGAAAAATCTGCACACTCAGTATGTGTTGGCTGAGGATGGACAAGGCTCACACGGAGATTTTGAGCAGCTGCTGTGATCAAGGATTGCATATGTAGAGGTGTTTCTCCCCCAGCAAGCAGCCAGCAAGACTTTACAGCATCATCTCCTGAAAAAGCAGCAGTAGCCCCTGATGAAAGTGGTTTTCAGGCTACATTCAGCCCTTAGGATTGCTGAAACAGCTCTGAAATTGAAATTTTGCTTTCAGTTACTCTGTTCTGCAGAATTCCCTCTAAACAAGCACCAAGGAGCTGTCACTGTGGGTGGAAGGATGAGGGAACTGCCAGACTTTCAGTGCTGGTGGATGCTGCTCTCAGCAGAAGGAGCTAATTTCATACAATCAGTGGCACAGAATATCCTGAGCTGGAAGGGAGCCACAAGGATCATCAAAGTCCAACTCCTGGCCCTGACAGGACATCCCAACCATCCCACCCTATGCCTGAGAGCATTGTCCAAGCTTTCCTTGAGCTCTGTCAGGCTTGGGGCTGTGACCACTACCCTGGGGAGCTGTTCCAGTGCCCAACCAGCCTTTGGGTGAAGAACCTTTTCCTAATATCCAACCTAAAACTCCCCTGACACAGCTCATACCATTCTCTCAGCTCCTGTCTCTAGTCACAGAGTGAAGAGATAAGTGCCTGATCCTCTCCTTCCCCTCGTGAGGAAGTCGTAGACAGCTCTGAGGTCTCCCCTCAGTCTCCTCTTCTCCAGGCTGAATATTTAGATTTGTTAGGGCATTTCTTGCAGAGAATGCAGAGACTCCTCAAAGCTGTTCAAGCAATAGATCCCTCTAGATCCCTGCTCTGGTTTTGGGGCTGCTGAACTCCCAGGGTAGTGATCAGACTCAGCTCCTGCAACACCATCCTTGTCCTTCAGTGCTTGGGTTTGATCTTTCTCCCCTGACATACCCAGGCTTTGCCATTACCTCCCAATGTGCTTAGTTTTGGACACCACCGTGTCTTGGTTGGGAGGGATGAAGCACTGACTGTCATGTAATCCCCACCATAAAGCAGAGAAGTGTCTGTCTTCCCTTCTGTGCTCACCTCAGACTCATTCTGTCCCCTCTGCAGCCCAAGCCTTACGATGTTACACCTGCAAGGAACCCACAGACATTTCCAGGTGCAGAACACCCACTGTGTGCCCCCCCAAAGCCACAGTGTGCACAACCACACTGCACTCCTTGGACACAGGTAAGTCATTGCTCCCTGTATGGGCTTGGGGGAGAGATCAGAGAATCATGGAATGGTTGGAAGGGACCTTCAAGACCATCTAGTTCCCACCCCCTGCCATGGGTAGGGACACCTTCCACCAGCCCAGGTTGCTCCAAGCCCCATCCAGCCTGGCCTGGAACACTCCAAGGGATGGAGCAGCCACAGCTGCTCTGGGCAACCTGTGCCAGTGCCTCACCACCCTCACAGGAAAGAATTTCTCCCCAGTATCTCATCTAACCCTGCCCTCTGGCACTTTGAAGCCATTCTCCCAGTGTCCTGTCACTCCATTCCCTTATCCAAAGTCCTCTGCAGCTCTCTTGGAGCTCACTCAGGTACCAAAAGGCCACGATAAGGTCACCCCAGAGCCTTCTCTTCTCTAGTCCCAGACATAAACAGAAAGAGTCTTTCTGTCATGAGGCAAGCAACAACCAATCATATTTGACACTGTAGAAGCCATTCCCTGTGTCCTGTCCCTCCAGGCCCTTGTCCCAAGTGTCTCTGCAGCTCTTTTGGAGCCCCTTTAGGCACTGGAAAGGGTCTAAAGTCTCCTTGGAGTCTTCTCCTCTCCAGGCTGAACATCCCCAACTCTCCCAGTCTTTCCTCATAGCAGAGGTTCTCCAGCCCTTGGAGCATCTCCACAGCCTCCTCTAGACCTGTTCCAACAGGTCTATGTCTTGCTTCTACCTAGGACCCCAGAGCTGAACACAGTGCTCCAGGTGGGATCTCACCAGAGCAGAGTAGAAGGGCAGAATCACCTGCCTCAACCTGCTGGCCATGCTCTCCCTCCCCATCCCAGACACAGAATGGATTATCCTTTAACTTCTCTATAAGAATCCAGGTGAAGTTATCCCATTTTAAGGAGGGAAGGAGAGAAATCCATGGGATTCAGAGCCTCTTAATGAAGTATACAGGACTCATTGTGCTTAGTCTGCCTATATTGCCTGTCCTATGCTGAACCTACAGATGGATGCAAACATCTATAGGGACTTGTGTCTCTTGTCCATGCTGGAATAATTTTGGAAGGAGCAGCAGGATAGGAGTGAGTCATCAGAGAGAATTGACAGACCTGTTCCCACAAAAAGTAGCCTGGATTAGGGACACATATGGATTAGAGATGTTCAACGATATGTCCATGTCTCTCTATGCCAAATGTCTGCACCTTCCTTTACCATTTCCTTCTCCCACTTCCCTTCTCCCCTTCTCCAATCCCCCTGTTTCAGGTTACCCCTTTTTTGGCAACATCACAGTGACCAGAGACTGTGAGGAGGATTGTCTGTCCTATAATGGGATAGGAGCATCCAAACCCAAGTCCTGCTGCTACACCGACCTCTGCACCGATGACACCAAGAGCAACAGTGGGGTGAGAAGCAGCTCTGCAGCACTGGGGCTGATGGCCATGGCTGTTGTCACACTCCTCCAGTGCTTCCTGTAACGTCACAAGTGCTCCAGCCAAAACACCCCCACCCCTTTCTATGCCAAGCTGCCTTGGGAACTCTTAGATGCCTTGGGAATAACCTTATTCGCTGCTGTGTGGTTTCACCCATCTTCAACGCTGTGAATTCAAGTGGATTCAAGCCAAGAGTTTGGGCACCTGGACCTAAATCCCTCAAATTTCCAGGTTCCAGCAGATGCTCCTCATCTTCAACTGCTTCTGGTCCTTAGGACCCACACAGAGTCATAGAATGGTTTGGGTTGGGAAGGGACCTTCAAGATCAGCTAATTCCAACCTCCCTGCCATGGGCAGAGACACATTCCACTAGTCCAGGTTGCTCCAAGCCCTATCCAACCTGGCCTGGAACACTTCCAGGGATGAGGCATCCACAACTTCAACTTCTCTGGGGAACAGTGGTGCCATGTCCTGAGTCAGAGGAGAAGATGGATGCTGGTCCTGGTTACTACTTGCCCATCATGGTGTGGTTTGCAGAGAGTTGGCACTTAATTCTGTCTGGAATAAGCTAAGGAATGAGTTCAGAAGGGCTCAGCCTCCATCTGTAGAGATGGGATGTGTTTCTGGAAAGCTCAGAGCACTCCCCAGACTAACAGGCCAGGTTAGACCTGGAAAACCAAATTTGGAAGTTTGACCAGACATTAACCTCATCAGCCTTTGCTTGAGCTCAGGTTACACTCAGATCTCCTGGATTTCCCTTCCCAGATTTTTTACAGACTATTTCAAGCAGCTGCTTCTGTTACTCTGCCTTCCCCGCATCCCTTCATAACAGGGACTGCAGGAAAAGAAAATAATCATTATTCCAGACCCTGAACTCTGGGAAAAGCTGGTGCTACTGGGTCCCAGCTGGAGTTGGCTTGGAGCAGCTGTAGGATTGATTCCATTGCCCTCTCTGCTGTAAAACCAGCTGGAGTGGAAGGAGATGGGAATGAGCCAAGTGTGCCCAGCTCTCAGCTCTCTCCAGTGGGGGAGATCCAGGGAATTTGCCATTTGCTCTGTTCTTATTGCCATGGCTTATCCAGGGGAGCAGGAAACACTCAAGGGCAGAGTGGAGTATGGATACACTCCCAGCCATCCTTGTGTAGTCCTGACATTCCTACAACCTCCTCTATGGCAAAGTCTATTTTTTCTCCATTTTTTAGTCCCTTTTCCACGCTGTTTCTCTAAGATACCAGCAGGAAACCAAAGGAATAAGCAGGGGGGCTCTTTTCCCTCCCTGCACAGAGGTAATTGTTTCTCCAGGTCTGTCTCAGAACCATTAGTAAGATAACTCTGACAATCTTTGCAGTCTCTGGCAGAGGGACCCTGTGCAAGCCTGGGGCTCAGAAAGATGATGAGCCCCTTTGCTCTGGAGGTGAAATGCTCAGTACCTCACTAAAGCACTGACAGCTTCCCTGAAACACCCTTGCAATGCTGAGAGCTACAGGGAAAAATGCCATTGAGAGGATAATAATTGGAAGCTACTCAAATACCAACATTCCACTCACCCTCGCAGACACTGAGCACATGATTCTGCTTCCTACTCGTCTGTTCTCTGTTTTCCTGCTTCAAAAACAGTCTGATGTGGCAGGCCAGAAGCAAAGCTCCATCACTGCCATCCTTAGATCACATCCCTTTCCCTATTCCTGGTTCAAGCTCAGTCTCCAGTGGCTTTTCCACACTGGCTCCAACATCCTGTGCTGTGCTAACCTGGGAAGAGCTTCCCACCAGCACATGTGGATGGGGCAGGATACAAAGGGACTGGGAGGGTGAGGGTTCCCTTCTGGGTGAGAATCTGGTAAATAAACTTGGATCCTTTGGTTTTCAGCCTGCAGCATCTTTCTTGTGTGCTCAGCATTCAGCCAGGGAGGGAGCATGGGGCAGCACAGGCTGCAGGGAGGTGTCTCTGCCTGGTTATTCAGCTCTCTGTGCCAGAGAGAGGGAAAACTATACAAAGGAACAAAAAAAAAAGGAATGCAACAATACACCTTGGAAGAGCTATTTAAGGCTATCCCTGCTGGAAGAGGAGGGGGAAAGGGTGGCAGAGGGGTGAAGTACAGTCCAGTGGCTCCAGGAGGCTCATTTGGGATATGCACTGGGGAAACTGGGGGGTTCATGGTGCAAATTCTCTTACAGCAGTGACTGAGCTCAGCACTGAGTCTGAGAGAGACCATCACACTGTCTCCTGTCACCTGGGACTTACCTGTTCACATCCCCAGAGCAGTGAGTTTCTCCTGCAGCCAAACCAGAATCAAAAGCAGATTTTAGCTCCAAAGCACTTCTAATATGTTCTTAAATTAGGAGAGGTGAAAACCCTTCACACAGGGTATCAGGGGTAAAAAATGGTCTTTTAATTAGCATTCTCCTGTTCACACTGTGTTAGCCACAAGCCACAGGCTGAACAGTCATCACTGGGAACCCTTGACTTGCTGTTTCTTTGGTTGTTGCTGTTATTTATCCTTCTCTTTGGTCCTTAGGAGTTAAACCCAGCAAGCACCAGTGCCCCAGTAAATGCAGGACACTGCCAGGGGATTCAAAGGACTTGGCAGACTTCTGCGTCACTGGGTCGAGTGGACATACAGAGGGAGAGGTTAAATATAGGCTGAAGAAAATAGAACAGAGAAAGATGTATCTCCAAAGGGCCAGAAAAAAGACCTGCAGCCTCTCAGCCCTGCAAGCAGCAGGTGACATCCAGTGCTGATATTGCTCTCTTGAAGGATTTTACTTGCCCCTCTGAGGGCTTGTTTTTTCCAGCAGTATTTCTGGGCACATCCAGAGGCTTCATCTCCAGATTTGAAGGCAATCTTCAGAGCCTTATGCTTTATCTGGCTAAGAAATGGCCTTTTCCATCACCTTCCAGCCCATCTGTAGATGTGGGGCAGTCCTACAGATGTGCAGCCCTACAGATCATAGAATGGTTTGAGTTGGAAGGCACCTTAGAGATCATCTAGTTCCACCCTCTGGCATGGGCAGGGACACCTTCCTCTAGACCAGGTTGCTCCAAGCCCCATCCAACCTGGTCTGGAACACTTCCAGGGATGGAGCAGCCACAAATTCTCTGGGCAACCTGTGCCAGTGCCTCAACACCCTCACAGGGAAGGATTTTTCCTGATCTCCATCACCTGCTTTCAGTTGCAGATCTGTAGGAAGGTTGCAAGGCTTTCAGAGAGGTGTTTGCACACCCACATCAATGAGGATATTCCAACTGGGATACCCTGTTGAGTTCTACCTCCAGCCAACCATTAGGGATATATATATATATATATGTCAGCCTTGAGTAGCCTTTCCTTGTAGGCTCCACAAATCTTGAATTTGGAGTGCATAGTTCCTCCTCTGGCAATGCAGAACACACAGCTTTGACTGAATCAGGACCTGGGTTCAATCCTGCTGCTTTGGCTTTGGCTTGGGCAGGATTCCCACAGCAGGATCACTGGTGCTATGGAAGAGCACAGCTACACAAACAGCAGGATTCCTATTTAAGGCTCAGGGTTTCCAGCAGGGATCATTTGCAGTTGCTTTCCACAGCAGGACACATGGTGTGTAGTCATGAGTGGTGATGCTTATCCCAGCATGGCCTGATTGCAGGCTGGCCCAGGCTCCAAGCTGGGAAACACCAGGAAGTGATTTTATGCCTGATTTTGGGGGAAAAAAAATAATATATTTTGTGTTCTTTAGGAAGAAGAGAGGGAAAAACCCCACACAGCCCTCTTGGCATATGCCCTGATCGAGACAGACATGAAAGAACTAGAGCTAAGACAAGACAAGGGCAGAAATGATTGCAATGCTCTAAGAGAGAAAAGAAAGAGATAATTTTTGCAGTCCAGACATTAAATGTAAAACGGAGTTCTGATGTCATCAAATACAGAGAGGACTTGGAGTTCTTGCTAAAAATACCTCTGTAGAATATAAATATACATTAGAGTGGAGCTGGGAGGCTTCTGGAGGTATCTGCCACAGCCTTGTATTTACAGACAGGGCTTTAAATGTTTCATGCTGCACACTCAAAGGCAACTCACTCCAGCTGAAGGAGTTATTAATTATGGAAGGCACTTGGCAGGACTCAAGTGCAGCAGGAGTGAGATCATTTTCAATATCACTCCCAAATTATTCCTCATCTAAAACTTATCATGTGCAATTTTTTTTTTCTTCTCGGGGTCTTAATATAGATCTGTTTTACCATATTAAGCTTTGGGTGACTTGAAGCATTTGCATCTGACAAGTCAGCACAGCTTCTCTTGGATGTCTTCATTTGTCTCCTGCATGACTCTCACATCCTTAATTCCACAGAAACACAGATCTGAAGCCTCTTTACCTCTTTATTCCCTCCAGCCCCAGGTTGAGAGTATGGTAAATGCCCTACAAATGAGGTGAAAGAAACCTTTAGGGTGTCAAAAGAGGATGTGTGGAGGGGGAAGGGAGGCAGCTCAGCATCCTGCTTGGCATCTTAATTTAGAAAAGTCATTTGGGGTCACTTGATTATGAGAGAGATGCTCAGAGTGCTGCAAAGTGCTGGGGCAGATGGTCTGTGTGTGCTCTGACTCTCTTCACAGGCCTGGAGCTCCACTCTGAGCTGGCCATGAGGCTTTAAAAACACATGTGCCCAAAACTCTGTGCCCTGTGAGGCTGCTCTGGATCCTGAGCCCCTTTCCCCACTCAGCCCCTATTAAACCTGTGGGAATTGTCACACATTGGTAGCTCTAAGCACAGTCCTGCAACACATACTTAGTGGTTTAGAACTTTCAGTTTCTGACTATACTTCAGAAATGTGGATAAGGACGTTGTGCCTTGGGGTGAAATGGTTCTGCACTAGTTCCTTGTGGGTATATTGCTGAAATCCAGGCAGAGCCACAATGGTAAAGGCAACTGAAAGCCATAGGATATGAAATCCATGGGTCAGAGCCCCAAAATCTGATCCTGTTGTCTAAACAAAATTACTGCTCATCAGGTCTCTTAATAGAAGAATGGATTGGATTGGGTTGGAAGGGACCTTAATGCTCATCTTATTC